TCGCGTTCAGGATCTTCGATGGTTGCATGGCTGCTGCTATTGCTGTCAATAGCTCCTACCACTGAACTCTCAACTAACTCTTTTTGGCAAGATTTCGTGTCAAATGTGTCTGTTTCCTTCTCTTCTTGAACTTCTGATCTGAGACTCGCACACGATGATGATGATCGAGCTTGAATCCTGCATGGCATCAGGTTTAACATAAGAAACTCACGAGCTCAAGGAGAGGATGGTGAACATCATCATCTAATACAATCAATCTACTCAATACTTTATGGTGAAATGAACAGCCTCAATCTGTCGTTATATATTAAAATTTACGCGGATAGCTCAACAACAAAGCACGAGGAAGAGAAAAGCCTTACCTGCTGTAGAGAAGCATATAAGCTCTTTGAGAAAGGACATCTTCTACTTCAACACTTTCTATCTGTTAGTATTTCCAAATAAGGTTACAAAGTCTCTTAAGAGAAATAGTTTCATCATCATTTCATGCCGGTATATGAACAAGAAGAGCAAACAGTAAATGATTGTTACCTCAGAATCATCTATTCTATACCAGCTTCCGCTAAAATCCTTAATGTAGCATATGTAATGGCCGAAGAATGATGCATTCAGCATGTCTAAATGGACAATCACAGCATAGAGTTTATATACATCTGATCCTTCTCCTCTTTCGCTCATGTAAGGGTTAAGATCCAATGTCTCAGGAAAACTAATTCTTTTGTTCAGTTTTCCGTATCTTCCGCCCTGTAAATAGTTTCACAGATGTATTATAGACAACCAATCTCAGAAGAATTTAGCAAAAAGTAGGGAATGCAACAAATACCTGAAATCTTTTTAAGGCAATCGTAAGAATATTTGGAGCACGCCGAATGGTAAGACGCTTACATGCCTTTACATAGTCACTACACCTGGAAAATAGAAAATCTTATCGGGTTTAAGAAACAGACAGTAGTTGATTTGTCAACTAATCAATTAACACTAGCTTTTCGGATTTAGTAAAATACCTATCACATTTGTACATGTTATCTCCCTGAAGCCACTCTGTGGCTGTAAACTGATCAAGACATTCCTCCAACGACACCGCATCCCCATGAATTTCGACGGTTAAATCCATCATATTTTCATATTGGTCAGAAACATTACTGCAAACAGTACACTGGACCTGAATAGTTGAAAATGCAGAAAATCAGGGGAAAAAGCTCCAGAGATAGAGAGTAACATTAGAAATTAACGCAAGTCGAAGAATCATGATCTTTTTTTATCAACTGAAAACAAGTTTCGTATATACTCAATGGAGGCAGCCAGCTAAGGCAAAAGAAGTAGCATGTTAAATTCTCTACCATTCAAAAAGAACACTAGTAACGAATACCCGCTACACGAAGACAACTAATAATAAGGAATTTCCTAAGATCACTGAACAGGGAATCATTCTAGAGCATGGAAACTCGTCCGTTGTTCACTTGCCTAATAAGCTGCCTAAGAATCTAATGCTACACCACAGTCAACATTTGATATTGCGATCAGGAAATATCACCTGTGATTGGAGGAGACCACCAAATATATACTGAATAAATGTCGTTTCTTGAGAACGAGGAGGCACCATTTTTTCGCCACCGAATTCGTCGAGGCAAACAGACTGCATCATATCAATCGCATACCTGAAGAATGTGAATTCTAGTTCCATTAGTTGGAAAATTCATAAACTACACCAGTAGGATTAAGCTATATTCATGAGTAATAGATACTGACCTCATGAACTCATGAGCATCCTCTTGTCTCCCATAACCAAGAGTTCCACCAATATTAGTTAACCGTGAAATAATGTTTATTGGTGAAAAAGGCAACCGACTTCGACTAGCTCTCTCAACATGGGTTTGAAATTCACAGAAGAAGCACCAATCGTTGCGCATACCTGTCAAACAAAACATAGAATCAAAGCTAAATTGCATAAAGAAAACCAAACGAGAAAAAGTTTGAGGCATTAATACAAAAAGAAAAAAACTTTACATTCTCTCTTGTGGCCTTTCTCCAGCAGGTATGCAACAAGAGGACGAGTCCAAGAAAGGCATTGTAGAATCACGTTCGCGAAGCAACTGAAAGAGGATTAAAGAAAATCATATTGAATGGAAAAAACAAAATCAACTCCTTTAATCGATGCTTTTAAAGACCGGTAGCACTTGATTTAATATATGGTGATTGTTGGCCAAAAAAAAAAAAATTGATGCTTTTAAAGCTACACCAGACGAACACAAACCTGTTTCCACAATTAATGAGCCCACATGGAGCCAATTCTGGTTTGTCCCAGTTAAAATAATAAACAAATTCGTCATATGGAAAAAGAACCTGCAGAAGATGCAGTACAAAAGTACAATTGACAATCGAGAGTGTCGA